TAAGTTGACTGTGCGGTAACTCCTACTCGTAAGCCCCAAGTGGGGTGAACCTTGTGTATTTATACCCCAATTGGCTAACCACTTACCTTGGCCAAACTATCAAGTAAGGGTCCCTGAAGTGCCAGACTGAAAGAAAGGCAAGTCTGACAGGCCGCAAGGGCATAAGTGAACTTTTGGCTCAAAATCAATGGATCTCCCTGGTAAGCGGTTGATAAAGCCCATCTAAACCAGCGGAACCCATCAACACATAGTGTCTAATATGAACCATTGGCTTCTCATTGCTTCTAGCCCATCATTCATGCTTGAATGAAACCAATCTAATCTGAACCAGTGGTTTCTATCCAGCGAACCGATCAAAAGTTGACACCTGCTTTAGAAATCCTGCACCACCTAAGAAACCATGGAACGCCATTTTGTTAGCTGGTATTTACAGGGAAATCGTAGCATTCCAGTGCTTCTGATCGGTGGTGCGAACTTGTTTTCGCAGCAGTCTGGGTGAGCAAAACAAAACATCGGGGACCCTTTGGGGACAATATATGAGGATTCATCTCCACCAACCACTTTAGAGGGGTCCGCATGATAGGCCCCCCCAACCCAAAAACAAAAACCAAAAAAACAGCTCCACTCCTTACGCGGGTTTTTTAAGAAGCCCAAAAGACAGGCAACGCAACACTCGGCTCCCCTCCCTTCCGCGTTTTTTTTCTGTTTCGAGCTCCGAGCCGAGGGGCGATGCGGAGGATCAGCATCCCGGTGTGCCAGGACACCGAGGCGAAGGCCTCCCCATGGCCGGCGGAGTCCAGATACGTGAAGGCGGTGTCCAGGGACCCGAACTTCCCCACCAACATGAAGGCCAGGGCCGCCTTCGGGACAAAAACTCTTTTGCAACCGGAAAAAAGAAGAGGAAAACCCACGGCGCAAGAAAACAAACAAAAAAAGGACCACTGCTTGCTTGCTGGTTGCTTTCTCTTTCCCCGGGGGAATATCGTTTGAAGTGCGGTGTTCGCCTCCCGACACTCAGAAGTCGGACAAAAGTGCGGGTCCCGGATTGGACCCGAACTCAAACTTTCTCTCTGCTTCACGACTTTTGAGGTTTTTAATCATGCAGCCCAATCCCCAAGATCAACTAACCCGAAGTTCCAAGTTGGCTCAAAAACAGGCGTTCCCCCAAATCAAAGATTGATCATTGACTGGTGGATTCCCTATCTGCCACTTTTGGAGGTTTGCTTTACTTGGTTGCTGTTGACCCCCCTGCAAAAAAGCTTAACTTGTTGGGGGTTCAGTTTCAAAACCCCTTGATTTCCCAAAAGGTTAATGTCGAAAGATCCAACCCAGTAGCAGTTTCCTTCAAGGGATAGATTCGGTGCATGCGGATTCCCCCCAGAGCTAGGAAGCCTTCCCGGTGAGCTGGTGCTCCTCCACCAGAGCCTCCAGCTCCAACATCTCCTTCTCCTCCAAAGAGCTCAAAGGCTTCAGCTCCTAGGCCCGTCACGAATGCCACGACTGCTGCGCCCCGTCAGGGAAAAACGCGTCCAGCGCGAGGAGGAAAGGAAAAAACAAAAAAAAACGAGAAAACTCCGTGGCGAGTAATTGCCTAACGGGTGGTAGTTCGTAATTTGTGGTTTTCTACGAAGTGTGGCTCCTTTCTCAACTGGCACACTTTCTCCATTCAACACCTCTCTGGGGCACCAGCGATTGGCACGCCCATCGCGGAGAAAAAAGAGAAAAGAACGGAAGCCGCACTCAACGGGCGGGTCACTTCGCCAAAACCCCCCGTTGAGCCGCGGCGCTATGGCATGGCCCCTGGCTTGCAGATCCAAGGCCTCTTTCAGAGTCTCTTGCATCCGCAGCAGCCGGTCTCCAGGTGACTCGTCTTCCTGAACCCCATGCCATCCCATCCCCACTAATCCCCAACCCCATGGCACCCCATATCCCCCCATGAGAACCCCATCCCCCCAACCAACCCCATGCCCCCCACATCCCCCATGGCAAGATGCCGTGGACATGCAAAAAATTGTCGCCAATGTGGCATCGCGCCTCCTCCTTCCGCGCTTCTTCCTCCTCAGAAAATGGGTGTGTCTTTCTTTCAAGGGCAATCAACACTTGTTGAATCGGTTGGTTTAAAGGGGAACCAAGCTGCGTCAGCCATCAAGCTAACGACAAAAACTCATCACACAAGCTGATGGATTCAAGATGCACTTGCAGAACCAGGGGAACAAATGTAATCACTGGGCAAACTCGCATCTTCTGCAAGTGGCAAAGGACTTGCACAAGCCTAACAACACTCAGGACGTCCAGTGAATCAAAAGGAAAACCAGAATCTTCGGGCCAACCTCCCAATGTCTGGGATGGGCCCCACGCGCCAAAAGGCAGCAAACCCAAATCGGCGGTTCTCCGTCCTTCAGCACTTGCTGGGTCCAGCCGCGCACGCACAGCGAGCTAAGTCTGCGAGCCTGAGACCGCGTGTCCGGCCTGTCCGCGCCCTGACGTGGCGCATCGCGGCGCGCGGTTCGCATGGTCCAATACTCAGGATGTCATGTTTGGGGCTTGACCAGAAAGGCCCTGTCGTGCAGGTGTGCAGGTGTAGTGTTATTTTTCCTTTTTTTCTCGGTGGTGTAGGGTTGCCAAACCACCCCCCCCCCTCCCCCAGCACACAGACAAACCACGGAAGCTTCACGCCCATAGGTGTCCTTTTAGGGGAATAGATGGCCCTGGTGGATGATTAAACCACAGGCAAACCAGAACCATCTATTCTTGCGAGACAAACAACCAAAAAGGACACCTATGTTCACGCCTCTCGCTTGAAGACCCCGGAGTTCGACTTCGTGGGGGACAGGACCTCGAACTTCGGCGAGGCCGGCGAGGCCGGGGGGGAGTAGTCGTCCCCGGAGCCCAGGCTCATCAAGGGCTCCGGCGGCCGCTTGCCCTTGCTACCTAACCCGGCAAGCTAAGCGCATGGCAATCCCAGTGGACTTTTGGCACGGGCGCTTCCCAAGGTTTTTTGGATCACGTTTGCCCTGTTCTGCTAAGAATGGGACCCAACTTGGACGACCATCCTGAAGGGTAGATGGTGGTTATACGGCAACCCAGCCCTTTCATTGTGGCTTCAACCCTAGGGTTTGGATTTTGAACGCGACAGCATGAGTTCATCATTTGCCCATGGGTCAAAATCCACATCGGTTAGCCCCCGGTGAACATCCGATTCAATCCAACCACTAAAATAGGAAGCCTAAACTGGGTGGTGAATTCACCTAGCCCAAAATGGGATCCCATTGGGTTTGACCAATTCACCTACACCAAAATGGGATCCCAAAACGGTTTTGACCACCACGGCCATTTTTCCTCCGAGTCGCTTTGCCTCTCCAGGCCGGGCGCCAGCGGTGGCGGCGCCTTGGGCCTGGCTTGGGCGCGCGCCTCCTCCTTCCGCTGCGGCAGCAGGGGCCGCAGGGTCTGCGACAAGAAGCCCAGCCGCGTGGCCTTGGACTTGGAGCCCGGGCTCGAACTCGGGCTGCTGTCCTAAAATCAGAGGTTGGGTTCAGACCACCACTACAAGCAATGGTTGGGTGGTTCACTACACCAGTGGTTGGGTTCAATGGTTGGGTTAGTAACTTGGTGCAGTGCCCAGAGGCTCCAATTCGATGTTTTTGGGGCCCTCAAACAGCCAGGCTTTGAGACCCCCAACGGGGTGTCCAATGGAGGGGTCGGGTCTTCCATTGAAAGCCCCGTAGCCTCTGGGTGGTTGGGTTCAAGCCGCCCCTAAAAGCAATGGTTGGGTGGTTCAAACCACCACCAAAAAGCAATGGTTGGGTGAGTAACTTACCTTGCTGACCACCATCAACCCTTCAGGATTCCAAATTCAGTAGGCCATTCGTTTTCATGGGGGCAAGGAACCCCCAGCACCTTCTGAGACATATAAAATTTTGCCCGAGGAGATGCCTCCCTCACTCCCGCGGCTCCTCCTTGGTTTCGCGTGCGCCGGAATCCCAGGAGCGGCTCAGGTGACTCACGTCCGCCAGGTTCACGGGAAGCAGCATGCGCTGGCTGCTGCTTCCAGAGGGCAGCGACTCCTCAGCTCCGATTTGCTCGGGTTTGCTTGGCTGCCTGCACCTCTGGGCTCAGATCCCCCGTGAAAAGTTTGACTTTTGGTGGGTTAAATTGGAAACGACCATGCTAAGGGGATGGCCGGAAGCCACCAAGACCTCAAGTCACCGAGCGGCATCTGCCCGCGTGGTCGAAGTGCCCCGTACTGACCTAGGCTTCAAAGTTTCCACTCGGCCCACGCGGCAGTGCATGCCTAATGACTCCGAGCAGCTCAAAGCCATCCGATCTGGCAAAGGCCTTTGGCCGCCGTGATGTGGCTGGTCCGGCTGGTCTGACTTCCGATTCAGCTGGTATGATCCTCATATGGGCGCTCCACGCGCGTTGATTGTGTGTTGCGCAGCTAGTGCTTGCCACACTCTGCTAGGGCGAATGGCATGAAGTGATCACTACTAATTATCAAGCGCATGAGTGCGCAGACCCCTGCCAAGATGCAAGGCAAAGGCAGCATCGCTCAAAGGCCTTCCCGGGCGATCCATATCGCGACCCGTCCTGGCGATAGGCAACGGATATGGCGTCGCAAAACGCGAAGCGGCGCGTGCCGTCGTCACCGAGCTGCCTCGTCAGCGGGATACAGCACCCAAGACGAGGCTGGCCATGCCATATGGATGCAAGGCGCTGGTGTCTTGTGGGCTGGTGGATTTGGTTGGGCGCTCTCCAAACGGCCCCTTTCTGCTACTTTGAGTCGCAGCTATCCGCCTTTGGCGGGCGCGTTGCACTGAGAAATGCAAGCGGGAGGCCAACGGGGACGGCAAGGTTGATATGACACATGCTCACAAAGTAGTTTTCATGCCAGGCATTGGCAACTGGATACCCAAAATCAGGGACCCCTCCAGGTCGGTTCACCATCCAGAAGCTCCCCGGACGACATCCGCCACTCAAACTGGGGAGTACCTTTGTCACGCCTGAGGCCCGACGAGTTGCTCAGCATGGTCACCTCATCCTCCTGAGTCTTGAGTCACTCGAGTTTCCCCCGCTGAAGCCCGTGTTGAACAAACACAAAGCTGATCCTTCCGCCCGAGCCCCCCCAAGCACATCTCCAGATTTGGTCTCTTCCATCTAGCCCAACTGTGCTTGAAGCTCCCATCTTTGTTTGTTGCCCCGGTGTTGCCCCACCCGCTCTTCAAGTCTCTTTGCCCTTTCTTCGCTTCCAAGCTTTGCTCGAGCAAGCACGACTCCCGACTCCGTGGCGTCCGACGAACGGAGTCCCGGGGCCTCATCGCTGAAAGGGATCTCCAAGGGCTCCGGCTCCGCGTCGCCTGCCGAAAGCACCTTCTCTCTCATCCCGATACGGCCATGGGAAGCGCACCTTCCATTTGGTTGTTCGACCCCTGGAAAAAATGAACATGTTTCCAGTAGTGATCGACTCCCTTTAAAACCAACAGGGGAAAATAAACATATTCTTAAGCAAATTGAAGGCACTCTAAAACCAGTCATGCCGCAAACTGCGTTGCCTGATTTTGGTTTCCCCAAACTGGGCCAGGCTTCCCTTTAGTTGGCCCCAAACATGGCCGGGGCCAGCCGCGGATCGAACATGAGTCCTCAGGGTGTGGGTCTTTTTCCTTTTCTTTTTGGTGTTTGGTTTTTGGTTTGCTTTTTTTGCTTCGTTCGCGAGCCCATTTAGTAGAACCCCGTTTTAGGGTCACAGACGCCACGCAAAACCCCCGACCTGACGCCGCCGGGGAGCACGGCCTGAAGCGTGAGGAGTTCAAATGTCCATTTTGCCATCCCACATCCCACCAGACCAGCGACCTTTCATTGAGTGTTGATTTCCATGTCCCATGTCCATGTCCAATTTCCATTTTTCAAAAAAAAAAAAAAGCCCAACTTTTCCCATTTGACCAGCTTCATGGAGTGACCGGAACCCAGTGCCCACGAGTCACGCCCTCCCCGCTACCCCGACGCCCCGACGCAGCTGACCGACCGCTCCCCGAGCACCCTGCGACGCTGACAGCGGAGACGCGGCCAGCGCCTGGCGCGCGAGGCGCCCGAGGCGCAGCCGAGGAGTCGAGTCCCTTCGGCCGAAAAGAAAAACCCTTCGAAGGCCTCGCAGAGAGAGGATCCTTTGCTCTCTGGCGACCTTGGTTATGTTGATTTCAGAGGAATCAACTCCCAGTTTGTTTGGTAAATAAGGGGGGGTGTGGGGCCCCTCCAAAAGTGCTACATTCAGGGACGCCCCAGCTATTGAGAAACTGTGGTTGATTAATTCGGGGTCAACATTGCGTAGCTCGATTGTACAAGTTGCTACCTGGAAACCCATGCTCAGGCCGTATGAGTTTGTCCAAACGGGATGCCTCGGACACACACAATGGTCATACGGCATTTCCCACTTCTTGCCAACATGTAGAATGGAAACATACGGCCACCGCATAAGAGAAAGCAGTTACACTGGTAAAAATGGCCACACACGGGGGCGTCCGTCAAAGTTCCCATCCTTGGGTGCCGTGCTGCTGGCTGGACGACCTGGTCTTCCCCTTGCCATGGCCTCAAACGACAAGGTGTGAGCCCACGCGGTCGGAAACGAGAGGGGGTGCCCTATTTCATTATTTCTATCTATCTTTTGTTACTTTTTTCAAGCTGGTTGCTTTGAACATCGGACCACGGATTCTCATGGGTGATCAATCTAGGGAGGCAAGCCGCCATCCTGCACGGATTCGTGGCACCTGTTTTAGATTTGCTGCTCACTGCCAGTGGTGTGGTACCACGCGTGCATCAGCTCGTCTGCGTTGTAGGCGGTGCCATTCTCGTGGAACACGTCGTGGAACCACAAGTCCTTCTCTGTGAAGTCCTGAAACTTGTTTGCTCTTGACCCCCCTGCAAAAAGCTTGAAACTTTTTGGGGGTTTAGTGGAAAACACCTTTATTTCCCAAAAAGTTAAAGTCCAAATAGCAGTCAAGTGAAAGAAGGGCCCGTGCTGTGTCAGTGAGGGGAATCCACATGACAACCGCGAGGGGCCCAAAGAAATGACACTTGCCTGACAATGCCTACCCATGCAATCAGTAAAGACCGAAAGCTGGCAAGCTGCCCAGTTTGAACACCTCCCACCCCACCAAAAGAAAGAACGGATTTGGGACCCCCCAGACGGGTGGTTGTGCTTTTTGACCCAATCTGGATGATGACAATCCTCGGATAAACAATGGCCGTTATATGAACCCCCATTCTTTGAATGGTCGTGTGAACCCCAGGGCAAACCAAAGGCAACTCTAAGGACGAACTATTTCTCCAGGGCTCAGTGTTGATCCAAGTGTTCCATGCCACGTGGGTGTTGGACCTACCGTTGAAGAGGCCCCAGACGTAGGCCGCAGGCACCTGTGCCATCGCCCAAACTCCGCTTCTTTGGCTGATTGTGCCATGGCACCCCTAATCGGAGTCCTTTCTCACGGTTCAGAACCCCTACAACCTGGTGGATAACCACTAGCAATCGGTTCCAACCTGTTCCCCTAATAGGAAGCCTTAAAGCAGTCTGGCACCCCTACAACCAAATGTATTTCTTTTTTAATAATGGTTGCTAAGAATCCCTAGCTCCAGGTGGATTACCACCCCCATGACAACCCCAAAACCGCTGAGCCGGTCTATTGACCACACCTGGCGCCGTTTCAGCACCGGCAGGCTGTTGATCAGGGTGGAGTTCTGGACCCGTGCCATGAACTCCTCGTCCATTGGACCACTCGTTGGTGCGATAGGTGGGTAGGGAATGACTCCTTCCGAGTCTGGGAGTTGGTTGAGTGAACCGGATGTTTGGGGATTTCCGAAGAAAGGAAGCCACCAGTTGGACGGTTTACAGGGGTTGCTCAGTAGGGAATGCGGTTGAATGAACCGTGGGATTCGCAAAGAAAGGAAACCAAATCGGATGGAGGGTTTAGAGGGGTGATTCCATTTCTCATTCTCTGCTTTTGCACCAGCAAACAAGGTTGCCAGAATGGCATTGCAACCATGTGGGTATGCGTCAGAATAGGGGACCCTCGATTGTTTTTTCCCGTGGTTGCCTTTTGATCCCGTTTTGAACCCGCGCAAAAAAAAGGTACCTTTAAAAAACACGCCCCCATGTTGAAACCTCCTTGTATTCACTTGTGTAGGGTTGGGCAACCATGTTTGCAACCTCCTTTAGGTGGGTTTGCCTGCATGGTGGAAGTAAGTTGCGCAACTCCAAAAAATACAGAGGTAAGTGTTGAATCAAGCTTTGGGAATTCTACTTTTACCCAATTTGCAACCGCAGATTGTGAAGGGTAGGGCTGGCATGATAGTTGGTGTCCACACCCCTCTCCCCCCCCCCCCCCGCCGAAAGGTTCTTGCAGTGGCTGGCAGGAATGGAACTCCAAGTACCCCGGTCGGTCCATTCCGTAATGGACATCTGCAACGTCCCGCAAGAAAAAAGGAACCTGACTGGCCTTTGTCTATTCTGTGGCTGATTTCCCGCAGGGGTTTCCTGTTTTGGCGGCGTTCGACTTTTCTCCACGGAAGTGCATCAAATCCCGGGCTCCTTGATCGCCCAAACCATCCTCCTACCCATAACCCCAACCAAAGCTGGCCAAGGTGATCTTGAACCACCTTAAACGGAGCTCTGCACCTCAGCTCTTGCCAGCTAAACACCGCAGTCTGGTCCGTATCTAGGTCCATGATTTGGCCGTGGGTCAAAAATGTGTACCCGAAATAGAACCCCGGTAAATGGAAACATGGACCAAAACCTGCGGTCCGCTGGTGGTTTAGTTTTGACGCATACCCATTTGGGCCATGCCAAGGCCTCCAACACGTCCATCGCAAAGGCCCCAGCTCCTAACTCTCGCGGCCAAGGGGCGGTCACCAAGGCCGGGCCACGCTGCAAAGCTTCCAGCGACACCAGGCGTTGCTCGAGCTCATCTGGCGAGCAATAGCCTCCGGTGAAACGGTGAGAAAGCTTCGATCGCTCCCCTTGGCTGACTCCATTTGGTAAGCGGCCGATATTTACCCCCTTTTCAACATTGGAGAAAAAAACACTTGTCAAAAGCCAGGTTGGACTTGTGAGAATTGAGTGTGTTTAGGGTTGGGGATTTTAGTGTTTTGTGGGTTTAGGTTCAGGGGTTTTAGGGTTTTTGCAGGTTTTGTGTTTTCAGGGTTTGGGTTTTGGTTTTTGGGGGTTTAGATTTGGGTATTTTAGGGTTTAGGTTTAGGTTGAGGGTGTTTTGGGTTTAGGTTTAGGGATTCTGGGGTTAGTTGTTTTGTTTTAGGTTTAGGGTTTAGCGTTTTTAAAGGATTTAGGTTTAGGGCTTTCAGGGTTAAGCTTTTCAGGATTAGGGTGTTTAGGGTTTAGGTGTCGGTTTTTTGGGGTTTAAGTTTAGGGATTTGGGACTTAAGTCTTCGGGCGTTGGGGTTGGGTTTTCAGGGTATCTGACCAGACAATTCACTGGGCATTCCCGCTCCCAAACAGAGCTGACTGGCACCAAGGAGGCCTACAACACGCAAAGGCAGCTGATCAATGACGAAAGCAGGGGTTTCAGGCAGCCTGAAACCGGTTGAAACCGATGCATGCACGGATCTATGCATGTTAAAATGTAGACGGATGGGTGGATGGATGGATGGCTCAAAATCCCCCCCCCCCAAAAAAAGAAAAGAAACATGAACACCGACTCGCGAGAAATGAGGAGAAATGACTCGTGAGAAATGCGGGAATTCGATTTGTGAGGTGCCCCGCCCCAATTCTGTTGAAGCAGGGGAGGGGCTCTTAGGGTTGAAAGTAGGCCTTGTTAACTTGCACTGAAATGTTTAATCCTCTCATGAAACCACCCGCAAGAATCCCTGCTATTGGCAAGAGGTTAAAGTTCCCTCACCTTTTCCTTCCCCTACACACACAGGCAGGCGTCCTGCAGGTAACCCTCAGGTGGTGGGTTGTTGGTTTGGAGGTGTGGGGTGGCTTTCCTTCTACAAGAAGCATGTGTTTCAGCAGGCGAACCGGCTTTCACAACTCCAAAACAGAAACTAGCCTCGCCTCACCCCAAGCAAATGAACCGGATCAACAACAGTCTGGCATGACATTAAGCCGTACATCAGGCCATGGCACAGCCACTCCTCACGGCCGCGCATTTGTAGCGGGCAAGTGATTTGCGCACATGACACCTACCAAACAGAGGTCCACAAAAGTCCATGTCAGTCTTGGAACTCATCCCCGCCTGGGTGTCAACATAGAGGCATCCAAACAAAACTGTGCGGGTGTGTCTGTGTGTTCTTGGTTCCGGTGGCGTCCCATTGAATACCAAAAACCAGCTACCGAGCCCCTCACATGGCCATGGGTCAAAATCCCATACCCCCAGTGAACATCCCAATCCAAGCACTAAAATAGGTTCTACAATTGGTGGTGAATTCACCTACCCCCAAAATGGTACCATTGGTTTTGACCCACAGCCACATGGGTCCCGCGAGGTTTTCTTGGCCACGGCACAGTGCAGGGAGGGCACATCGCTGAGGTCCAGCAGCTGCTGATTCAGCATGTCCTCGTGGGGTTCGCTTTCTCGATCTCTCGATTTGGCTTGTGGGTCAAAAATGGGCAACCCCAAAATGGAACCCTGGCAAGTGGAACCAAAGACTAAAATCTGTGGTCCCCTGGTGGCTTAATTTTGACCTACACCCATTTGTAGGTGGCGTTTCCTCTACAAACCTCCCATGAATCCCTTCGCTGCAAGTTTGCTTGGGATGTAAAGGGGTTTCTTTTTTGGAGCGGCTCAGGTGGTGTTTCCTCTAGGGAACCTCTCTAGCTTTTTCTGAAGAAAATGTCCCCACGATGTTCCGTTGCCAACTGATAAGTGGTTATAGTTTCACGTGATTACATGCTATATGCCACCAAACGCCTCGCTTTACCCATGGTTACCTAGTTGGGCTGCGCATCCACCAGGAGCCTCAGAGATGAGCAACGCGGGGAATCGACAAGGATGTGGTTTGGCCCCAGCCCCACAAAACAGCACGTCAAGGAGCACCCTGCTTTTGGCACACCCCCTCCCCGCGCCCTGTCAGCACCAGGGACACTTTTGGGCCAGGAGACAATCAACGGAACCTTTGTGAAACCCTTGAGATTTTCAGAACTTCCCTCTAATTGGTTTTTCAGAGCCGAATCGGTGGGTTCGTGGTTGGGGGGTTCCCCCATTTACCCTCCACAAGAACCAGGGCTTCAAATCCGAATCCACCGGGCTCCACACGACCCGAGAAAGCCTTCGATCCCCCGCACGCTTGGAGCTGGCAAAGTGCCAAGGCGTCCAAATGGGAATAGACGCCCACAAAGCACACCCGCGCATGATGATCATGATGATGATGATGATGATGATGATGATGATGATGATGATGATGATGATGATGCTGCACGACCCGATGACGCCAAATTCGATTGTGAACAAAATCGCGTTCCTCTCGCCAGTAAGTGAGGGCTTTGAAATATGTTCCTCTTCGATCTTTGTCAGTGGGGAATTTGATTTCATTTTTTTTGACCCCGTGTCTTTGGCTGCGGTTGCTGTGGCTTCAGGTGGGTTCTAGATCCCTGGCGGTGCCTCCCCTTGCTTCGGCAACTAGCGACCCACCCCAAGACACCCAAAGACCCAAAGACCCTTAACCCTAAGATCCCACTTGAAACTAGGGTCATTAGTTGGACGGTTTCTGTTATCAAAGTCAGGAAATGTGGTTGTTTACCTTTAACCCACCACTTAGGGGGTGACTTTGATCATGGAAAAATGATGAGGCCAGGGAAATCCCTTCCTCTTCAGGGCTGTTGGAAATGGAATCCACTTCTGTGATACAACCGAAAGGGCTTCCCAAAGACTACCCCCCCGAAAAAACGGAGGAGATTCCCCTGTATCACAGTGGGGGACCAACCCCGGGTGATCAACCACAAGCCTGTTCCTCTTTGACCCCTGCAAGTGGGATGTCCAGAAAAATCGCCCGATGTTGGAAAATTTGAAGAAGAAAAAACTCGGATTGCTTCTAAAAAAAAAACGGTCCTTGAACTGCTTCACGTCCTCGTCGTCCCCCTCAGCCGGAAACTCCCACACCGCGGTGGTGAGCGGCTGCATGGGCTCAGCGAGCCGCGCCCAGTCGAAGGCCTCAAGGACCCCAGGGCTCGCCTTTTCGGGGGAAAACCCATCGATTTTCGGGGCGAGGCGGCTTTTTCAGAGAAAGCAAAAGGGAAACCCATCCATTTCTGTTGTGGCGAGGGGGGTCCAACCTTAGAAAAAGCAGGCCCATGGTGTGGCTCAAGTTTGAAGACCTTGCGCGGGTTGTTTGTTTCATCCAAGATGAGACAACAATTTGGCAGGCGTTAAGGAAGCCAACGCAGGGACCCTGACACCTGCTGCAGCAAGGCCAGCACCGTCTGAAGCTTGGGCCCATCCAGCAGCCAGTGCTCCGGGTAGCCCTGCCATCCCTTCCTTGGCGCTGCCACCCCCTTTTCCCCCAGACCAAATGGCACGTGTCACGCCCCGTGGGGTTGAAATGATTCGCAACTTTCCGAGAAACGCAGAAGCTCCAGCCCCCCCCCCCCCGCCCCATCCCCCAAACAAAAATCGACAACTGCCTTTTTCCATGTCGAGAAAGAAAAAAAACTGTCCAAAAAGCAAGTGGTTGGGACCCGGGCGCCGGTTCCAAACGGCATAAAACGCGGCCCTTTTTACTTCCAGGCTTCAGCGAGGCCAGCCGGGGCAAGATCAGGTGCTCGCTCTGGCGCTGGGTGGGCTCATTGTAGATGTCCCACACCTTCGAACGTCTGATGGGCTGTTGTGCGGCTTCCGCTTGCTGCATTTCGCAAGGCGGGATGCAGATGAAAACCTGGTCTAGGGGACACTTCCCCAGTCTTTCCAGGGATCCAGGAGTAACAGCGATCGGGTTTTTAAAAGAACGATGGTTGAAAAGAACGGAAAAGGAATCAACCCCTAGAGGTTGGGTTAATCTGACTTGAAAACCCGAACTGGACATCAACAATTAGTGGAGATAAAAGGGTCCACCAAACATTTTGCAGGATTCCCAATAAAACAAGTACCACCATTTAGCACTCCTGTGTCTTAAAATGGGAATTGGAACCTCCCAAACCTCCGGTTTTTCTCTTAGTTTCCCTTTAAACCAACCCACATTCTGGGTGCCGAGCTTCAAGCAAAGACACTTTCTTGGGATGTCTCTCCTTTTTTGAGGATACACCCGTTGAGAGGGGAGGAGGAGGGAGCCCAAATAAGCCCTTCTTCAGCCCTTAATAAGGCCTTATTTTGGAAGCGTATTTGGGCTCCCTCCCCCTCCCCCTCCCCTCCCCCCCAGCCCCATGATTTGTTTCAGGCTTCCTCCCTTTCAGGCTCCGACTTTTTGGTTCCCCAAGGCACCGCCACCCGGGGGTCCAGCGCGAAGCGCCGCACCGTCTGCTCCACGTAGCGCCGCAGCCGGGCCACGGCCCAGGCCTCGTTGGCCCCGAAGCCGCGGAGCACGTGGTGCGTGGGGCACTGCACCCAGGCGCTGTTGTGCACGTCGGCCAGGAAAAGGTCCTACTGGAAGATGTTGTTTGTTTATTTGATTGTGTTTATTATGTTTAGTGTTAATTGTTTTTTTTTCCTTAAAAAAAAAAAAAAAAAAAAAACGGATTTCCCCCAAATGTCTAGGGGGTGATTATTTTTCCATTATTTTTAGCCATCGTTCTTTTCAAAAACCAGCCATTTCCCCAGAACTTTTGGTGGGTTTCTAGAAAGAAGGATCCCTGGAAAAATGGGGAAGCGGAAGTTACGCCTAGACTACTGGAAACAGGTCACGGAAAAATGTTTCCCCCGGATGGAATGCTAAGTTCCGTTTTCTGGTGGTGTCCATTGAAACGATCCGCCACTTTTGGAGGTTCTAAAAAGAGAAATGGATGAAGCCCTGAACGAACCAACGTCACGCAAGGTTATAACCATTGGTATAGCTGGGGTTCCCTTACCATGGTTATAACCTACCTTCGTTGGCCGCGTTGGCCAAGCGGGACCTTTCACGTGAGACTGACAGGAGAGGAAAAAAGCCCCAGAACATGCGAGTTCCGGCATAACTTCAAGCTTCACCATCCTACCCTTTTAGGCCCATTTCCCACACAAACAACATGTTGCCCATGCCCAATGTCGCGTTTCAGAACATGGGTCAACACCAACAACCTTTTGCCCCTACACTGTGACTCCCCGACTCCGAAGAAGAAAACAACAGCACATCTCACGTCGCCTCCTCCGCTTCCGGGGCGTCCGGGCGCCAGCACGCATCGAAGAGCACCAGCATGGCGGACACGCCGTGGCGCTCGAACAGCCCCAGCAACGCCTCCACTCGCCCTAAGAACTCCTCGGGAGAGACTGCGAGTGTTGAGGCTTCCCTCGTGTGAGAAAAAAGAAAGCGAACAAATACGTGTCTTTGCTGGGCTCAGACCCCTCCGCTAAAAGTTTTTTGTGGGTTGAATGGAAACCGCCCCTAAACACTAAAAGGCTAAAAAGCTGGTGTTGCGCGATTTGGGGGCGTGTTGTTCTATTGGTGTGTTTTGCACTGCCTGGTTGAACCACTTTGCGAAGGGAAGCAAAGGTCAATGAAACAACTGTGGCCTGAACATGCTTCAACAAGTTGCCCACACCCTGCGCCTCCCCGTGTCGGAAGAAGAGCTCTTCGTGCAGGAAAACCCGCATGGTGGTGAAGCCAGCAGCACCTATGGCTGGGTTCCCAGCATGGGCAGGGGGGCCGCAAAAGGCTTCCTTGCCTGATTTTGCGGAAAACACGTGACTAATCAAACAAGTGACAACCTCCTCTAGGTCCTCCAGTAGAAAGGTTGGAATAAGGATACCCTTTTTCTGTAGTCCATTTTAGTAGGGGAACCCTCCCCCAAAAAAGGGTAAAAGAACACTACTGGGGGACCTAGTGTCCTTTGCAGCGGCAATCAATGCGCGCATACATAAGAGAAGCCTCCTGGAATTTTCGTGGGAGGGAGTCGGCAGGTTCGCAGGATCCCATCTGGGTGGAACACACCATGAACCCAGCGGCAAAAAACTGTTCAAATCTCGGATTCGCATTGACACATTGCATGTTAGGTGCCTTTCCTAGGTAAATTTCTCAGGTTGGTATGGCAACAGGAAAAGGCCCCATGTCCACTTTGATGATAGGGAGGCAACGAAGTCAATGACGAAATTAGTGTCCCTGAGGGGACATGGGAACAATTTGGTTGTTCTGGCCTTTGTGGGTCACTGCCAAGATGTTCATGCACAGTTTGTTTTGGTTGGCCCTTACTGCAATCAATAAACCAAATGGTACTGTGGATGATGGAGGAAATCGTGCACCAGTTGCGCCTGTATTCCAATCGGGCTTCATCCATCCCTGCAGCTTTCCTCCAGTGAATGTATGCGGCAGTTCAAGGGTTGAGGTGAACCATGGTTTCTGCAAAATGCGCGATCAGACCCAACAAGAGTTCCCGTGATACACCCAGATCGGTGATCTGGAAACCCATAAAATCAGAAGGAAAGCCATGGTGGGTTTTTCTTTTCTCAGCTTGCGGGGGCGGACGGGGGGCCTGTTGGGGTCTTTCATCTAATACGCTGACTCTGGTTGGTAGTTTGGGGCAGCTTTCACAGAGGGTTCCGAAAGGGTTCCAGGGGCTTCGGGGCGATTGGGGACACCACCTGCGCTTTTCTTTAAGGACCATCTCTGTGGGTAGTCTTCAGAGAAAGAAAAACCACAACTTTAAGTTTTTGTCTAAAGGTTGAACCCCTCAAATGGCAAAACAGATTCCCGTGTGGTTGTAAAAGGAAGCCCCATTCAAAAAACAAAGAAGAAAAACAGTTCCCCCCAATGGGGGTCTCCATGGGTCTCCCCCTAGGTTTCCTTTAAAAACGAACACCCAACTGTTGTCCCCCCCCCCCCACCCCCCACCCCCCACCCCCCGCCGATTTCGGCGGAAAAAGGCGCGCGCGAGGCGGAGCTCCCGCTCCGCGCGGAGCAGCGTCCCGGCGAAGGCGGCGGGGTCGAAGAGCTCGAAGACGTTGCCGCAGGTCGCCGGCAGCCAGTTGGCCTCGAGAGCAATCAGAAGCCCGGGTCTCCCCCGAGTTAAGGTCTCCCCCTAGAATCAGAAGCCCATAGAAGCCCTTAACTCGGTGGCAAAATCTGCTCCCCTGAAAAAAAGTGAATAACTTTAGTGGTTTTTGATGGAACATCCACTGGTTGGCAAAAAGTTAAAGTCCTAACATCCAAGCAAGATGCACCAAAGTTAAGCTTGGAGCAGCTGGGCTGAATACTGCAAGGTCAACAAAAACATCTTTAAACCCACCTTTGGGTTTCCATTCAGCAAAATCCCACCCAACAAAAAATAGAAAAGAGAAGAAAAACCAGCTACCTGCGAGTTTGGCGCCCAGCCGTTGACCTGAATGCCTACTTACAAGTCCCCTCAGTTTCCGCCGGGCCGCCCCCAGCTGGAACCGCCCGCCCCAGGCCCGCGCTTTTGCGGCGCTCCAGCGCGCTGCCGCGAAGCGCCATAGGAGGAGGTGAAGCAGCCGCATTAGGATCGAAGCCCCAGGGCTGAAAAGCTCTCCAAATGGGTGTTCCTTCTTTTTTGGGTTTTGCAGGAGGCTAGCCCAAAAAATTCGGGGTTTAGTAGTAAAACAGACGAAGAGAGTGAACAACTCTCCAAATGGGTGTTTGGTTGATCTTTTTTGAGGGACTGCCACCCAATATGGCAGGCGTTGAGGAAAGAAACGCCAAGGAAGGCTAGCCCAAAAATCACAGCCAAAAGGTAAAACAGCTAAGCTGAGAAAGCCCATGCAAATGGTGGCAAGATCCTTAGGTAGCGGCTCCAAGAAGAAATGCTATCTGTAACTTTGACAGTCTTCAACATGTCGATCTTTCCAGCTACGCGCTTGGCGCAGGACCCAATTTTGGCAAGTAGGCCCGAAACCATGCTCCTTGCTTCCTACTTGCATCTATCGGATCGAGCCTGGCTGGGGCATTCCGCTGCTGTATCTTCCTCTAGCAGGCCCCATTGAAGGGGGTGTATTTCCTGCCATTCTTGGGCTCAATCGGGTCAACCTTTGAGGGTGTTGCAACCGAGGTTGCAGACCCAAACGCATTGCGCAGTCGCGCATTCCTGGTCCAAAAACCCACTGAGCTCCTGGCGGCGTCCTATCCGCCTCAGTGGCAGTCTGCATGAGCCGGGGTTGCGACTGAGATCTGCCATCCCCACCTTCGCCGCTTCTTTTTTCTTTGAGGGCCTTAGCCGCGGCGCATATGAAGGACTTTTGCCGCCAGATCCAGCCTTGCGGCCCTCCAAGTCCCCACTCGCATCACTCTACCTTTCGCCTAGGAATGCTGCTGCTGGTCGCACGCCGCTCACTTTGACCTGGGCGCGACATCTACCGCCGCTCCTCGCACGCAAGCTTACACACACACACACAAGAAAGAGGAAAACAGACAAATCCGCTGATCGCCGAGCACAGAACGACAAATCAGGTCGCGGCTTCCTCTGCTTCTGCTGCGAGCAAAGCCCATGCCATGACAGGTTGCAAGAAATATCCGAAGACCACGCTTTTGCTTGCGGTAAAACAGGAAGACATTGAACTCACAAGACCCAAGGGCCCGCGTCTATCCCACACGCGGGTCAAGCGTAAAACAGGAAGACGCAGAATTCACACAGACTGGGTCAATCCAAAAAAAGAACGTCGGGCAGGCAGCGAAAGGTGGCTCAAGCATAGCTTGAGAGGGATGTGGGCAGCCTCTCCCTGGTTTCCGTCGGTTGGTTTCTTCGGCGGCATCATCTGCTTCCCAGACCCTTGAACCCTCTATGGCTTCCAAACATGCATCGGCCAGAAAGAGATCGGCATGCAATGTGCAGGCCCAATGCTTCACGAACTTGCTTTTTAATCTATGCTGTGATGCTCTTGCCCCAGGTCTTGGAAAAGTCTGCAGATTCACCTGGAACCCAAAAAACAGGGACCCCGTTGACTCTTTTGGGGGGGAGTGGGGCCTTTTGGAGGTTTTTTTGGTTTTGGGCTCCATGTCGATTTGCAGGTCGCATCGACGCATCGACGCTGGGGGGGAGTCCTCCAGACTCGCGCCTCGCTGGCTGTATGCCCGCGTTACGGCGCACGCGCGCACTTTTTGAAGAGAGGACCTAAGGCCCCCCCGAGGGTTTGGAGCACTCCAAATGTGTCTAGTGGCACCGAGCCACGTGTAAAGCAAGTCAGGGGCCACTGGATTTTCCATGGTCCCTTCAAAAGTTGCTGCTTGCTGGTGGTTTCCGTCGAAACTGCCACTTTTGCCCGGTTGCAACAAGGGGATGGACGAAGCCCTGATTGTGGTTCGGATTCGGACAACCTCGGGGTAGGTCCTATTGTCCCCTCCGCGAAGTCGCGCACTTCGTGAAATGGGGCGCCATGTGCTCGTGACGCAGGGCGCCTCAAAACGCAGACTTGCTGCAAGGCCTTTGAGCGGCCAAGTCTCCTTGCAAGTGGCATAAACCTAGCACTGCCTGAAAGGTACTGCTGTGGGTTCTGCGATGGGTGTAACTAGTGCAACGTACATCAAAAAGGAGGCAATGGAGGGGATGGAATCCGGGAAAGGAGTTGCACACATAGGTTGCCTTTGGGAAAAATAGATGGCCTGGTAAATGGCTCACAAATCCCATCCATCGATTTTTCACCAGGCTCGCCGATCAAAAGGACACCGATGGGTTGATGAAATGACTTCGCTTCGGATCCCCGAGTTTCCTTTCTCAGTAGAGCCGCGGCTCGTCCATGGAGGCCCAGCGGCCTGCGAGGCGTCCCATGGCCCGATGGGAGCTTCAGCCACGGATTCCAAAAAAGCCCATGGCCGTGTTGGTCAAAAATGGGTACCCAAAATGGAACCCTGGTAAAATAGAAACATGGACTGACACCAATGGTGGTGGGGCTTAGCCATGCAGTGGCATCCCAAAAGCTATCTGGCTGATCTGCACCGAGGCACGCTGCCGCCCACGGGCGGCTTCCAGGTCTGCCTGGCGAGCGCGATGTTTGGCTTCTTGGTTGACCCTCTAAAAGCTTGGGTTTGCAGGAAAGCCAAAAGGAAACCAACCTTTGGCCATGGATCAGAATCCCGTACACCCAGTAAACATCCCAAACCCCACTAAAATAGACTAAAATGGGTCGTGCACCTACCGCAAAATGGTACCATTGGTTTTGACCCACAGAAATTTGGAGGCCCCCTAAAAATAGACACACCCGCATGCTTGGTCATTGGTTCGACTGCACGGGACACGCACGCGTGCAAGGAAATTCTCGGAGAAGCTGGGACACTGGAACTTCCATCGTCCCCGTTCAGTGAGGCAGCGTTCTCCTTCAAATCCCCGCAGATGAGCCATGGTCAAAATAACTAAGGGGCTTCAATCAAGGATGGGACAAATTGTGACTGCTGTGGAAAGTTGAGTGAGTCCCCCCCCCCCGGCCTGTGAAAAAATTGACCACAATGGGTGCAGCTATGTCACAAAAGATCTAAACATGCTTGCCCTTGGGCGTGGGAAACCACTGTCACGTGATCATGTCATCCACGGCATGTTTCCAACACAACTTGGTTAAAAATTGCTCGAACTAAACCGCCTCCCTTCCCAGACAAATGGGTCGGGCACGATGCACACTGAAGCCTGGAAAATGCCCGAACAGTTTCCACGTCCTCGACATCCCCTTCTGTCAAAATGGCATGCTTTGTAGCTTGCTTTGGCAGAGGATGCGGTTGTGCATAGGTCCCCGGGAAAATGCAGGGAGGGTGTGCCCCTTTCGCTTGACAACCGACCCCCCGACCAATCCACAAGTTTCCTAACACATCCGCCCAATCCCAACCATCCCCTCCCATCCCCTATTTGGGTGTTCAACTTAGTAAGTAGGTTATAACCATGGTTGTAAAGGGACGTTCACCCCAGGTCCCCCCAGCCACAACAATGGTTGCACCCTACTTACGAAGTTGGTTGAACATCCAAGTAAGAGCTGCAGACTTCGGGGTCTATTTTGCAACCACCTCCCTTAAGGGTCTTGGTTCCTTTAAGGCTTCTCTCCTTCTTGTCCGCAAAAAAGTAGCCTCGCCAAGTCTCCATGGCACCCCCCATCCCAACCATCCCATCCCAACCATCCTCCCTTAAAAATAGTTAATAGGGGGGGCCTGGGGTAGGGAATTTTCAAGGTAGGGTTTCAGGGTTCAGGGTTCATTTTCAACAAGCAAACAACTTTGTTCAAAACACCAAGGGGGATTCTGGGGAATTTTTCTAAAATTTCTCAACTTTTTTTACAATTTTTTCATTTAATAACAGTCTAACAATTTAACATTTTCAAGGTTCAGGTTTCAGACCATGTTTAAGCTTTCTGGGGAATTGTTGGTCATTTCTTTTTACATTTGTTTACAATGAAAAAGGGTAAGCACTTTGTTATGATCATTGCAATTGTTATTGGCTGTTGTTATGTTTTGTTGTTGCTCTTCAATCTGATGACAACCTTGTTTGTTTTGTCATTGTTTTTTTCTCTCACCACCGCCACGCTTTTCGTGTTCTCCTTCTATGTCCTGGTCCATATTCTCGTCGGGCGCCTCAGTATGACAGAGTTTGACTGAATGAGCACACGCAAACCTGACAAGTGGATATGCTTGATGCTATGTCTGAAACAGAGAACTCGTGTTCAAGCAACAAGCGTGAAATCTGTCCTGCTTTCTGCAACAGTAAGCCATGTCCAGTGTGGCTACCCGTTGTCGGATGAGCAAGTTGCTCAGATGCTGAGCGACGAAGATGCCATCTCTCAGGCTGAGCAAGAGAGTTTGGCAGAGAGCGTCGAGGAAGAGACAGAGACCGAAGATGAGCAGGAAGAGCCTTCCGAAACGCTTGGTTCGGGAGATGAAGCCAAGCCCATCGTTCCACCGAAGGATGATGAAGACAAGGATGACGCTGGTGGCACCACATCCACAGAGCCTTCGGCGGTGGCTTCACCTCTGGCGGATGTCCCCGCCTCCTCGTCAGAGACCGTCATGCCCAAGAAGAAGTCCAAGGCAAAGAACATTCCCACCGTCCCCGTCAGCTTCAAGCAGGAGATGGAGAAGCTCTCGGATAAGATGCTGGCGCTGAGGATTGAGGAGATGGAGCATCAGGAAGCTCTTCTTCACGAACCATCCAAGCTGGCTCGCAAGATGTCAAAGAAAAGGGCTGACGACGCGAAGAACGCCGACAAGCCATCCAAGAGCGCCATGGTGAAAGCCAAGTCTTTGGCTTTGAAAGCCGAGAAGGAGGCGGACATCACCGTGACCTTCTCTTTCAACGGTAAGCGCTTCTCCATCACCACACAGTCAGGCAGAGGCATTGGTCACATGCGGACGCTCTTCATGGAGAAGGCGAAGATTGCCAAGAAGTTCAAGAACGACCTGAAGTTTGACCTTGGCGGTGAGGACATCTTCGCTGACCGTGACCCAAGGACCACGATGCGCTCTGTCAAGGTCGGCGACGGCTCTTTGATGACAGTCACAACGAGGGGCTTGGGCGGTGGTGTCATCAAGCCCTTCTTGAAGCAATCGGATGCCATTGACATGCTCCAGAAAAGGGCTTCGTCAGTGATTGACAAGAAGATGGCTAAGGACGAGGAACAGTTGATGAACCTGTCTCCGGAAGAGCAACTCCCCACCAACATCAAGGAGTATCTGACAGAGAAGCGCAACTCGCTCAACGGTGTGAAGCTGATGAAGGAGCAGACAGGCCTGAACATCATCAAGACGTGCCTCGCCAACGTTGACACCGAGAACCTGCGCCTCATCCGCAAAGCCATCGGCGACCGCAACGAGGGGCACAAGGGCTCAACCGAGGAGCGGGTGCTTCGTGCCTCCTTCCTGCTCTTCCCTGCCATCCGTGAGGTCAAGTCCGTCATCCTCCACTTGAATATGTTCGAGCGGGAGGTCTGCCGTGAGTTGCTTCGCATCTACATCTCTGAGTATTCCAAGGTGGAGAACGGTCAAGCCAAAATCAACAACGTCGGCTTCGTTGAGCACATTGACGCAGAGTTGGTGCGCCGTGAGCACTTGAACAACCCCGCCCCCGCCGATGTCATCCAGCAGGTTCAGCAGTCCAACTGTCTCATCGTCTGAGGACTGATTATGTCTAAAATAACCCCGCCCCGAAAGTTTGGGGCACCCTGCCCCGAAAGTTTGGGGCACCCTGCCCCGAAAGTTTGGGGCACCCTGCCCCGAAAGTTTGGGGCACCCTGCCCCGAATTCCCGTAAGTTTGGGGCACCCTGCCCCGAAAGTTTGGGGCACCCTGCTTTGAAATCGTGTCGTTTCTACAACCCTGCAAGGAGATTCCTGAGCCATTGTCAGTGAACAAGCGGTAGATTGAGTGATTGCCCTTCTTGCTCTTTTATATGTCCTTTACATCAACCACAAACAAATGAGTCATTGCATATGTTCATTTTGAGACATCAACCAGAGCAAGAAATCACAGAAAGTGGCTTCGTTCATTTTGCTTTCGCTTTCACATGGTTAGGGGGGAACACGCTTTACCAGTGGAGAGAAGTGGAAAAAAAGCGGTTCCTCGTGAGATTGATTGACACATCACTTGACAACAGTTTTGAAAGCAACACCACTTGATTTGCCGACGCTGAGGTTGTGAAGTCATCCCGATGTATCTGTACGAGGCTACTCTCTACCAGGCTTGGCTGACACAGGGTTATTTGTTCGTGTCCTTTTTTTTGGGTGTTCTGTTAAAGTGGAGGGTTCAAACAAAGCATTCAGGGAATGACATTGCCAGACAGTTTGCCGAGCCTGACATTTGACACTTCACCCCTTTGACCCCTTTGACCCCTTTGACCCCTTTGACCCCTTTGACCCCTTTGACCCCTTTGACCCTGTGTATGCGTCCTGTATGTCAGAAGGCACCTCCCTGTATATCTTCAAGGTGTGGTCGTTGTCGCTTTTTTTCACCCTTAAATTTATAGTAATAAATAAGGGGAAACTCTCGCCAATTTTCCATCTTGATGTTTGAGACCAACCCCAAATTTAAGGGCATCCTTCCAGAAACCCCAACATTCCCACTTTCCCAAACCCAACAAAACAAGGACAAAATCCACCATTTCACAACTCACCCAAAACCAACAAACACATCAACTTCATCAGTTTCAGTTTCAAACCCATCCCCAAACCCACATTTCAACGTTGAACCCAAACCCACCAAATCCAAACCCGCAACAAGAACCCGCCCCCAAAACTACTTAAAGAGAAAATGCCTTATATATTATTAGAGAAATGGCAGGGGATTTTGAAGCAGGTTACGTTATAAATTATCTAATATCCAATAATGAAGCAAACATAAAAACAGGGAAGAACAATAAACCTTTAAAAAAACTCGTTATAAACAACAAGGAATATTATTACAACAAAGAAAAACCCATCTCAACATCTTTACAAAACAAACTTAATCAAGTATCAAAAACACAAGAGTTCAAAAGACACCACCTTTTACAGAAGTCAGCAAAGGCATTGAGAGGAATTAATACAATCAAAAAATACAGATTAAAATTAGGGGCTAAAACATCAGAGACATTTTCAGCATTGAAAGAATATGCCAACACATATTCAATATCCAACATACCATTCAAGGGATACAAAGGATTAACATATCTTTTATGGCAAGAAAAGAAACTAACAGAGTTTTTACAACAAGCAAAATCAATGAACCTACTGATTGATGTTGAGGTTCTGTTTGATAAAGTTGATGTAGATGGTGATGAAACAGAAGACACTGTCAGTGCATCAAACACGCTTGGAATATCTACCAAAGATGAAAATGATGTACAAATAAAACACAATATGAGGAGTAGGAGATACAACATTTTGAATGTAGGCGATTTGAAAAAGGCATTGGAAAATATACCGAAAGACATTGAACTTCAAATTGAAAACTCACCTTTGAAACATTCAGGATTGAAGATTAATAAGATTAACAAAATCACCATCCACTACGACAAATACAACCCGAACAGAGCAGGAAAATATATGGAACTACCAGAATGGATTTCAAAGAAAAAAGCGTGTATCAACATTCAAAATGAAGATGAGTTATGTTTCAAATACTGCGTTTTATGTAAATTCTATGAAGTCTTCAAGAAAGACCATCCGCAACATATGAGACACTACAAGAAATTAATGACTACTGAAAGTCTCATTAAATGGGATGGTGTGAATTTTCCAGCATCAAATGATGACATAGACCATTTTGAAACAATTAACCAAAATTCTATATCAGTTAATGTTTATGTTGAAGATGAGAACCAAACCATCAGGGCAGACAAAATAACGAAGATTCAAAAACCATCTTGTCATATCAATCTGTTACGAATTCAAAAAGATGATAATGAACATTATGTTTTAATAAAAGATTATAATAGATTAATGGGTAGTCAAACCAACAATTACAAAACAAAGATATTTCATTGTATTTACTGTCAGCACGGTTTTCAATCAGAAAAGCTTTTAAATGCTCACATATCAAAGGGATGTATGGCAAATGACATTCAACGAACAGAAATGCCAGAAGAAGGAACATCAATGAAGTTTGAAAAGCATTTCAAGAAACTTAAAGCACCATTTGTTATTTACGGTGATTTTGAATGTTTAACAACAGAAACATCAGAAGGCATCAAAGGGACTTATCAGAACCATAAACCCAGCGGTTATATGCTTAACCTTGTAAATGCATATAGTGGAGAAATGACACCGTATTTAGACAGAGGCGAAGATTGTATTGATAATTTTTGCGATACTTTGAACAATATTAGAGATGATGTAATGGAACAAATGAAAAAACCAAAAGATATGATTATGTCAGATTTAGATGAAATTAAACATTTAGAAGCTAAAAAGTGTTTTCAACAACAAGGTGCACCCACTTGTTGTTGAAAGCGCCTAAATGTTTAAATCTATGTGCCACAAGGTGCACATAGATTTAAACATTTAGGCGCTTTCAACAACAAGGTGGAAGCGAAAAAGAACGTCGCCGACCATTGCCACTTCACAGGATTATACAGAGGAGCGGCGCATATGAAATGTAATATAGACTATTGCTTTAAAAAATATCATATACCAGTATTCTTTCACAATCTTAAAAACTATGATGCTCATCTCATAATATCAAATCTTGAAAAGTTAAACACAAAGAAAGAACAAATATCAGTAATAGCACAGAACAGTGAAAAGCTTATTACCTTTTCATTGAACAGACTTGAATTTAAGGACAGTTTCAGTGTCTTATCATCGTCGTTAGAAAAATTAGTCAAATTAACTAAATATGAAGATAATAAATTAAGGGACAACTGGCAGGAACATTTTAAATATAGTTTCAAAGGCAAATACATTAAAAACGAAAAAGATTTATTTTTACTGACAGAAAAGGGAGTTTATCCTTATGATTATTGTAATGACTTCAATAAATTTAATGACACTGAACTACCAGAAAAGAAACATTTTTACAGTAGATTAAGTGAAGAAGATATAAGCGACGCAGACTACGAAAGAGCAAAATTAATTTGGAAACACTTTAACATTAAAAACCTTGGTGAATATCACGATTTATATTTAGAAACCGATGTATTATTATTAACCGATGTATATGAAAATTTCAGAAAACAATGTCTAACAGATTATGAATTAGACCCAGCCCATTATTATACATTGCCTAACTTTGCTTGGGACGCGATGTTATTAAAAACAGGAATTGAACTTGAACTTTTACACGATGAAGAACTTTAAAAAATGATAGAGCAAGGATTACGAGGCGGTATGTGCCAAGTTTCAATGAGAAAAGCAGTAGCGAACAATAAGTATATGAACGATGATTATGATGAAACAAAACCATCATCATACATTACATATTTAGATGCTAATAACCTTTATGGATTAGCAATGTGTAAGAAACTGCCATACAAGAAAATAAGATTTGTAAAAGATAATTTCTCAGAAGAAGACATTAAATATTACAATAGTGAATATAGCAACAAAGGATATATTTTAGATGTTGATTTAGAATATCCGAAAGAATGCCACGACAAACATACTGATTATCCATTAGCACCAGAAATTATGAGTGTATCAGCAGATATGCTTAGTGATTATCAGAAAGAAACCTACAAAGCATATCATTTTAACAATGCTCCAAAAGATGAGAAAACAAACAAGTTAATACTAAATGTTATGGACAAACAAAATTATGTTTTACATATTGACATTTTAAAATTCTATTTGAAACAAGGACTTAAAATAAAGAAAATAAACAGAGTAATAGAATTTAGACACAAGCAATGGTTGAAACCGTGGATTGACGTTAACACAGAGAAGCGAAAGAACGCTACAAGCGACTTTGAGAAAGATATGTACAAGTTCATGAATAACGCGGTTTATGGAAAAACTATGGAAAATGTTAGAGAACACATTGACTTTGAACTGGTTGACACACCTGAGCGCTACCAAAAATGCGTGAATAATCCTAATTTCAAATACAGACATATCATAAATGAAAATCTCATAGGAGTTGAAAAGGCGAAAAGCGTAGTGAAATTAAATAAACCAATATATGTAGGTATGAGTATTTTAGACTTATCCAAGAAACATATGTATTCTTTCTATTATGATATTATGAAACCGAAATATGGAAATGATATAAGAATGTTATATACCGATACTGACAGGTTTGTATTACATATTAAAACCGAAGATTTATATGATGACTTTAATGACATTAAGGATTTTATGGATTTTAGCGGTTATGACCCTAAACATAAATGTTATGATAAAACAAATAAGAAGAAACTTGGTTGCTTTAAGGATGAAGCCGACGGCAAGATTATAACAAACTTTATAGCATTGAAACCGAAATCTTACTGTTTCAAGATACATAACGAAGAGAAAGAAGAAAAGAAGAGCAAAGGAATAGTTAAACATAAAGTGAAGAAGGAACTGACATATACCTCTTATGATGACACATTGAAAAACAATAGTTGCGACACTATAACATTCAACAGCATAAGAAGTAAAGCGCATCAAATATATAGCATACAACAAACAAAACAATCGCTTAGTGCCTATGAGAATAAACGCT